GGGAAGTGAGAGTTGATGAAGAGTCAGTTAAGCACTGACTGTTGACTGGGAAGGAAACTAAGAGACTGAGTGGATCAAGGAGGATCCACATTCAAGCCAAAAAACCGGAAATAGCCTCTAGTAAATAGAAATGATCCTTGACTAGTTACGAAGGGAAATAGCTTCTAGAAAAGAGGAATGATCCTTAGTTTGTGTATAAAAAAGGATTTTTGGGACTTGGTTATATGTTCCTGCCTTCTAAACTTTGTGTTGGTGAAACTTGAAAACCTATGCTTGAGTGTTTAAGCAGAAACTGAAAAGAAGGCCTCTCTCAAAGTTTTAAAGAACTTGTTGCATAGCAGAAATGCTAACTCGGCAACAAATTATGTGGTGTTTGTGTGAATACAAAGTCACCTCAGATTTATGATCTGTTCACATCATATATTGTGCACCTGATTCCACCTGACCTTTTCTCCTCCAAATTAAATCAAACATCTTGTTTATTTTGAACTTTCAAAAGCAGAGTACAAGAAGGTGATTTTGTTCTTCCCTTAGTTCCCTGGGCTAGGCCCACATCATCCATCCGTCTGTCTGTCTCTCTAATATCTCAAAGCAGCTGTGTGGGACAGCTATAGACAAACAAGAAGAAAATAGATAAAGGAGCTGCTCAGCAAGAAAGATGACAGATGGGGGTATCCTTTGTGTGAGTGAGGGAGGTAAGAGGGCGAGATCATCATAACAGTCAATGGAAACAACACAAGAACTACCAACCAAGGAAGAAGCACTAACTATTTAACAGGATGATCTTTGTTGGCTTCCAAAAACTAGCAAGTAAACAATCCCAGAGTGCCTTTCAGTAAGGAGTTCCACCAAGTAGTCAGTAGAGTTATTGCAGTAATGACCTGGTATAGGTCTCATTGGAAACTTATGTAAACCAATCCAGAGTTTGTACATATCTGAAGTTTTTTTTAGATATTGCTGAGCTCCCCTCTTGTGAATTCTGGAATTCTACTACAGTAGTTGCTATGTAATTGTTAACTGGAATATGTCTTAGAGGCTTCTTTACCAAACATACTGTAAAGTAGTTGGATAACTGCACACAGTACTTTTTTCTTACCAAAAACAGTTCTGCTGCTGTCATTCTCCTGGTGCCTTCAATCTATAACATGCCATTTCTCAGGTCAAAATGCTGCAGCAGCATCACACATGGATATTGGGGTCAAGAAGTTCTGTGTAAATCAACAGCTGCACCTCTCAGTTATTCCCAGGAAGAAGCTTGTTTAGTGCTGCACACACCCTTGGTAATGTTTGATTTGGGACTCTAAGTTAAACATGGCCTCATCTTAACAATTGTCATTTCCTGTACCTACAAGAAATTTGCAGTGGAGGATGTGAAAAATGTATCCTGAACTAACACATTTCTAAAGTGGAAAGCCCTGACCAATATTCCATTGTACTGTTAGTTAGGGATGGGCACGAATTGGAAAAATGTTTGTGTCAGTTTGTGGCTGAACCACGAACTGAACTGGAAAGTTCACTTGCAAACTGAACCGATTTGTGGTTCATAGCCCTGCAAGCCCCGTTGAAAGGGACCACAGTCCCTTTAAACATGGTATGCAGAAAGCTTGAAAAATAGCTGAGTGATGAGGAGCAGCCCAGCTATTTTGGGCTGTCTTGTGCAGTCCCTTTAAACTTTTTTGGGTTTTCTTCTGTACTCCCTTTAAACTCTAAAGGGACTGCACAAGATAGCCGAAACAGCTGAGCAGCAGGGAACAGATTGCTCCCTGTTGCTCAGCTGTTTTTGCAGCTTTTGCAGGTAACAAAAAGTAGAGGTTTAAAGGGACTCGGAATCCCTTTAAACCCCTGCTTTCGGCTCTATTCACGAACCGAACTGTTTTAAAAGTGATAAACTTCGGTACACAAACCATGAACAGGGGAAAAATTCATGACGAATTTTGCTTCGTGGTTTGGTTCATGCTCATCCCTAGTTAAGGCTGTCAGAATGGCGCAGGCACACTAGCAAGTGTGGGTACCACTGATGGGAGAATTGCCACACATGTATGCATTTGTCCTGTACATCAGAGTCTTGAATCACAGTGATATAACTGCCCTACTAATCTCATTTGTTGCTTTCTGAGATAACTACATGTGAACCATTTTTATCTGTGATAAAGGAGGAAGAAGCTAGGTATGGAATGCTCCTCAACATACTCTGCAGGGTAAAATCTCAGTGCTGATGTGTGGATTGCTGTGTTGTGATTTGATCATTGTTCTGTGTAACTGTTAGTACTGGGTTTACTATTACAGAGAGCTAAAACATAAAGGTATTATTGTTCTTATATTTAGCTATTAATAGCTATCAACACTTGGGTCATTGTTTGACTTCTACCCATTCCACAATTACCGATCCTTGTGGTTGAATGTGTTACACTGTGTTAATTTTAGTACCTCTCAGGTAATAGTGAACACAAACTGTTCTTCATTTTCAGGAGGGTACAGCTTTGGCTCATATATTCAGTATTTTGTCCTTGCCTTTTTGTTTAATACCAGTAGTTGAAGTTGTTAACTTAAGCAGTAAAGTACTTCACGTTTTAATGTTTGCACTACCACTTTAGCTGGCATTGGACTAATGCTTTTACTCTTGGCTTTGTACCTCATACTGGGAAGAAAAGTAAACCTTATTATCTTACACTGAGTAAGAGCATGTGGATGACATTGCCCTTTAAAATTCTGTCCAATTAGTTTTGCCTAGGAGGACAAAAGAATCTACTCTCCACAGTTGTCCATGCTGCCTTTATTCATCTACTCCAGAGAAACAGCAATGAATTATTTCTGGATCTTCCAGAGATAAATTAACACCACACTAATGCTGGTCAAGCACAAGCCTTACAGTGAGTGCAACATGTCCAGTAGTAGATTTAACAGGAAACAGAAGTACTCTGCCAGAATGAGTTTACCTTCGTTTGGGCCATTGGATTCTGGAGGATAATGAAGGCTGCATAAACTTCCCTTGTAAATGCTGTTTGCCAGTACTGGTCACTGACGTTTAACATGTTACAGCTCAAGGCAACACTCTAGTGCCTTTTACCCTATAATTTCTACATTAACGCTTGCATTCTAGTTATAAATAATGAAGTATGTGGGCACAGTTCAATTTTGAGAGTAGTTTATGCTTGTAAGACATGTGAAGGCAGAGCAGTGTGTGTGTATGAAGGATCTTCTGATGGCTCAACATACTCTAGTCCAACTCAAATGGAAGCTTTTGTGAAAAACAATTCTTTCTGTGATGAATTGTCATAGAGTTCCCTACTTCTCGGTAAAGGTTTGGGGTTCAAACTCCTTACGTGTCTCGTCTATTCAGTTGTTTCCTCTTGATGTTCCTTTTATCTTCTTGCTGCTGTTGTGCTACCTTTTGGCTGCTTTTCTAACAAAAAAGGATAAGTTTATCATATTATTTTACCATATTATTTTACAGCTTTTCCTAGCAAAATACAACCTCCCAGGCATCCTGACAGAAGCCCTCTCTTCCCTTCCTGGAACCACGTAGGCATCCTTTCCTTCACAACACTGTGACTGAATCTGTTCCATCTCAAGTTGAATTTAAGAAAAATATATAAAAGATCAACAAAACCAGAACATTTAGAAGGGGAAAGGTAGGAAGAAATGCTGCTTAATTAATAGCGTTGTAGAATTTTAACCCGTCTTGGTGCCTTGCAAGTTCCTTGAATTGTGTCCTTGTCCAGCACTCCTGTGCTTTCCCTTTCCTTGTATTCTGGGCTCTACATCTTTGTGCTCTCAATGTTTTAGCATTTGGAAGTTTGCATTTGTTCTTTCATGCATCTGTGCCCAACAGATGTCACTTTCAGGCAGTAAATGACTCTAAAATAGATCTGTAAAGAAGAGGGTGGGGAAAATCACTGAATATTTCAGCTCTGTTATAAAATCCAAATTATGTGGCCAGTCTTTCCATGCAAAATTTAAAAGTCTGGCATGTTTTTGTTTACATGTAGGGGGTCTCTGCAGTTTTCTTATCAAGTTGCTTTTCCTCTTTGAACAAAACTAATAGTCTTTCATATTCTTTTTCTCATTAATTTCTTCCCAAACTGCTACCATTTGTCATACACTGATTACTCTATTCAGTGCTCTTAATGGGTTTTTTTCACATTCAGGAAAGTAGTAGTAAAAGCGGTTAATGTGTAGCTTGCAGTCAGGGGTACTCCATACGAACCATCAGGAACAGTTTTGGAGGGAAAACTACTTGCTGCTTTCAAGCCATGCTGAAGTGATTAGCTGTTGCAAATATTCCTCTCCTGAGGCTAGCACTGCTACTGACCTAGGCCAGTAGAACTTTGAGCCACAGAATTTTCACATTTTTCTAGTGTTTCCTCCCATTTGGAGAGATATGTTTTCCCCTCATTACCACATTTCCAAACTGAGTTTGAGTGGAGTTGGGGGCTTCATTCCCCCCCCCCTTTCATAGCTCTCAAAAATATAGAAGTTCAAAGCATGTGCACCAGCTCTTTTTGCTCAAAACTGAAATGTGCCTTCTGTCCCTTGAAAGAGTTAACCAAAAGAGTAATGCATAGCTTGCTGTGTGATCTGTCTTTTCTGAAGGTTGAGAAGGATCTGCTTTTTTGTTTTATAAATGGCAGGGAGGGAAAAGGACACAAAGTTTGATCTGTTTTCAGCTGTGCTGTTTAAAAGACTGTACCACTGACAGCCAACCCTAAAAGAGTTAAGCTAGTAAGTGTAACTGTGGGGGAGCCACAAGAAGCTGATGATGCGAACATGAGAAAAGGGAAGCTTGGAACTGAAGCAAAGAAACCAAGGTGAGGAGGGAACACAGTGATATAAATAACTTGGGTGCTTAGCCTGGGAGTGACTCTCTCTCTTCGTTTGTCCGGCCCCTGGTACTGCTGGCATCGGCTCTCTGGGGAAAGCTGCAGTTCCGCTGTTAAAACACAAGGAGCAGCCTGGAGAATTTTGAGCTGCGTCACACAGCTCAGAGGGAGAGAGAGAGAGAGAGAGAGCAAGCTCTGTCGATAGGTCTACTAGCAACAGCCCTGCTGCAGCGAGAAAGAGACAGAGACAGACAGATCATGAGAGAGAAGTAATAACAACATTGTGCAGCATGGTTCTTTCAGCCATCCAGCATCTTTTTAAAAAAGAAATATTATTTGGGGACTCATTTCGTACCGGCGGATTTGTTCATTGACGATACGGGAAAGATGCAACGCAGTTAATCCCGCAGTGGGGGGGCAGGTGTAGGAAGGGTTAATGGGAGGAAAATTCTGGAATGTTCTATCCTGCGGCGAAGTGAGCAGAGGGCTGAGGACTGCACAGGTGTAGACAAACTGATCTCACGGTTCCTCTTTTTCTTTACGTACGTATCCTTTGATCGAGGAAGGGGGGGTATCGAATTGACCGTCTCGTTGTTGTTGTGGGTGTGGGTGTTTGTGTATATTTGGGGGGGTTCTTTCTTCGCCACCCAAGCTCTCAAACTCCTTAGCCCCGTGTTATTTTACTGTGCCTAGATATTGCTGCTTTGTCCTGCGTCAGACCATTGGAATGAAAGCACAGGTTGTAAAATGTCACTGCGTAGCTGTAATGCAGATTCAGAAAGGGAGAAAAAGAGAGTGGTAGTTTCACAGAGGTTGCTATCCAGCACACACACACACACACTTTTAATAGTTGGCACAAGGGATTAACAAGACACTCCCTGGATTTTTAAATCTGGGTTGTTATATAGCATAGTTCAGAAAGTGGCAAATGATGACGCAGTGATCCTCGTTAGGCATGTTGTTAGGTTTAAAAGGCATCAGAGGGGACAGGTACACTGTGACTCACCAGACCAGCTGCAAGGGTCTGAGTTAAGAGGGGAAGATAGCGTTTAGGAATTAAATGTCATCATTTTGGCGTTGGAAAGTTGTTTACCTTGCTCTCTCCGTGTCTCCATGTTGGCAGTCTTCCAGCTCACATGTGATAGTCTTCCCTGTACTGCTGCATCATTAACTGAGTGTCTGAGCTTGCACATGATTGGCTGGGGAGGGCTCTTGTTCTAAACACAGATTTCCATTGGAGGGAGATGCAGTGGCAGGTGAAAAGCTGCTTCAGATTGGCTGGAGCCAGGATATCAAATCTAAATGTTCCATTCCCCTGCTTTAAAAGGGGCTCTGTACAGTTTGTGACTTAAAATATTGGCTGTTTGTATTTCCCCCTCCTTTTCCCCCCCTTAAAGCACACATTGTGGAATGTGTCTGTATCCTAGGAGCTGGTCATTTAAAGAGGAAAGCAAAAACAAAAACAAAAAGCAGGAGCTTGACAATTGGGGATCAGTTTAGTTTATTACTGGTGCAAGTGACGCAGAAGGAAAAACAAAACATTCTGGTGGCTCGAGTTGCATCAGTGACAGGCGTGTTTCCGGCTGCTGTGAGACAAGCCACGATGACGTGACATTATTATAGGCTTCAGAGGAGGCAACAAAAAAAGTCTTTGGTGAGAGTTTACCTCTGTCTGTGAGTGGAAGAACTTTAACTAGACCTGGCAATTTACTTGTATTGTAATCCTATGGGGCAGGGAGGGTCTCTGTCACTGGCACGTTTGTAAAAATCTGAATAGGGATAGAAACAGAGGTATGTTCTAGGTTACATCGCTATACATTCAAAGGTGTTGTTGTTACTGGACTGATTAGAATAAAACAGAATACAATTATAAAGTTTGCTTTTTTATGTTTGTTGGTTTCTTTTAATGAGGGGGTGGAGACTTGTAAGATGGCTCCAGAAGCATAGTTTGACCATTAAGAAGAATAAAGGAGACTTTGGGGGGGGGGGAGATAACATGGCATATAGGAAAAGAATGTAAGGTAGACCTGAAATTTGTTTTAACTGTTTAGTGATCCATGTTTATATTGTAGACAAATGCAAACCAATTCCAGTCAAAGAATGATTCCACTCTGAAGGCTAGGGTCTATGTTCTCTTCTCTTTGGAACCCATCTTGGAATCCACAGTAACTGGTATTATCACAAACATGGGAGGATGTGTTTTGTGTGGCGTTTTCTCATAAAATGCTCCAATGAACTGAAAGGTTTACGATGGTAGAAGGATTCATGTGGGTGACTCACCGGCAATGAGAGAGTCAAGTACAGCCAGTTGTCGAGCAGCCGTTTGCTGGCTTTAGAACCATATCAGATGCATTTTCGTTCTCCATCTTGATTTCTTTCAGAGTACTTGTCTCTCAGGTGCTGTTACAAGATGCGGACCTGCCAGTAGGTTTTTTAAGCTACGGGAGAGGTGAATAGGTATTATCTGCTGTTTGCATGCTAGTTCAAGAGGAAGGATTAATAACGAGCCATTTTTGGAAAGAGTCAAATATAATGCCTAAAGGAAGGGGAGGCAGAGAAACATAGAAAATTCACACCTCCCATCTTATCAGACGCACCTTCGTTTCTCATTTCACCTTTCCTTTGCCAGGGTTATGCCTTATTTG